GATTTTCTATTTATTACAAATAGAGGGTAACAAGTTAATAAGAGAGAAAGCAGAATTTGGGTAATAACCATCACACTGCCGTGATGAATTGTCTTATACACATTGCATATATTTGTTAACACTGTAATGAGCTGTGCCAGAGAATTCTGAAAAATGTCTTGTGGACTTTAAATATTAGTAGTTAGTAGTTCTTCTGTCTTGCCTCCACAGCCACTACAAATTGTCCATTTACTTGAACTTGTTCCTCCTCTTTCCAAAAAAGTATAATCACAGAATCACAGAATGGCCAGGGTTGGAAGGGACCTTAAGGATCAGGAATCTCCAAACCCCTGCCACACACAGGGCCACCAACCTCCCCATTTAATACCAGCCCAGGCTGCCCAGGGCCCCATCCAACCTGGCCTTGAACACCTCCAGGGATGGACGGGGCATCACAGCCTCTCTGGGCAGCTGTTCCAGCACCTCACCACTCTCATAGGAAAGAACTTCCCCTTGACATCCAACCCAAATTTTCCCTCTGTCAATTTAAAAACACTGTCCTGCTGTTATACACCCTTTCAAAGAGTTGACTTCCTTTAGGTACTGAAAGACTGCAATGATGTCACCATGATCTGAAAGACGTCAGTTCTCTGCTGTGAAACCCGGGCGAGGATGTCTGAGCAACTGGTCTTTTGCAGTGAGGGGTGTAAAAAGCCATCATTTTACTGCACAGTACTGGAGAATTACAGGCTGTGCATTATCATCATCATTATTTCTCTGCATGTAAGAAAAAGATAGATTTGCTAGCACTCTCGTTCTAGCACACCAGGCACCGATGGGACTTAATTATCTTAGATAATTTTGGTCAAAAATTAAAAACTAAATCTAATAGAAACATTAACAGCAGGGTTTTATTTATGGATGGAATCTGACCCTTCGTTGACATCAGTTAATGTCTCATTGGTGTTGAAATGACAGATAAGTCTTGTACCTTTGAAGTAGAATGTTGATCAAACTGCCTTGTGAGCATGATTCCAGCCAGAACAGAACAGTGAACAGACACTTGCTAACCACTAATTATAATACCTCCCACTGGCAAGAAGCTGTCCTGACACGTTATAAAACACATTCGAGTTTCATGAGACATGCTGAAACTTTGATCTATTTGCAAGTGGATATTTATATCAGAAATGTCCGGGCTGAATTTTGTTCCTTTCTAATCTCCTCTCCCATGCACCCCTCTCTCATGTGGTTAAATGCAGCACTGACAACTCAAAATACTTGGAATTAGTGGCTTGCATCTGAGAAAGCATGAGGAAAGTGGTTTGAAAATCAAAATTGTTCTAAAAAAGAGTACAAATGGGGAGTTGCATTTACTGTCTGAGGCCCAGCAGGATTAAGGTGTCTGATGCACTCATTAAGAGACACAGGCCTTAATCACCATAACCTTGTTGACTAAAAGCTTGCTTTCCTGAGGAATTCATGCATCCTGACAGGGGTTGTCCAAGACAAAGAAACTCCAAATGTGCACACACAAGTATGAGAACATGGCTTTACTTCTCACTTGCAGAAGGGTCATGAGCAGTGTGAGTACTGCTTCTGTATTTCCCCCTGACCAGTAACAGGTTTGCACCACTGCTATGGACGATGGACAATCCAGAGTGAGGCAGTGTGAGTTTCTTGTATGATCAAAATGTTTTTTTCAGAAAGCTCTACTCTGCTGTCTGGTCAACATCTTGTCGATTCTACTTCACTGTGGAGCACCTGCATCTGTTTGAGATGCTAGCTGTGGGTAAATCAGCTACAGACATCTGCTTCCCCTTTGCCCTTTACTATAGGTGGTATATATCTTGTGGTCTGTCCCATACGAAGTTCTTGGTATGCAACTCACAGGAATTTGGCCAGACTTGTAGAACTGCTGCTCTGACCATCCTGCACCATCCTGCATACAGGTCCAAGCTGAGCTATCGGAAGTTGTGGAAGACACTGGATTTTCAGAAGAATCAGAACGTTGACATTCAGCACTGCTAACATCAGCCTTCTGATGCCTTGTTGCTTGGTGTATTCAGCAATTCTGATAAGTATTTTGTTATTCTCTACAGTGCCTTGGAGACATACATGACTCCTGAGTCACTCCAGCTCAGTCTATACAAACCACAGAACAACAGAAGTTAATGCTCTCGGTCACTACCAAGTCAAGTCAGATTAAGATTGATGATGTGCACATATAATTTGTATATTAATCTTCTGTTACTACCCTACATGCTGGGGAACTCTTAAGTAGGTGTCACAGGCCCAGCTTTTATGCAAGTGGGTTTGCCAGCCTGTCCAAAACAAACATAGGGCATTGGGTTTCACGCAAGTGATAATTTGTATGTCTCTCCAGGACAGCAGTCCCTTTTCTCTTCCCCAAATACCTCAAATATCTTATTGATAGAAGGGCTGTACCGAGTGCTTGGTTTCAATACTTATAGGGCAACACAGTTCATGAGGTGGGCACCCAGGTACCTATTGATGTATCTAACCCATTTTTTCAAAACTGTACCTCCCCCCATGCACACCCAGCCTGTGATTAGGAAATTTCATGGTCCCTGTGACAGCCACTGAAACAGGAACATAGCAATGCTGTGCCGACAGATTGGACTGCAGAAAACCTGACCTGGCTCAAAGAGGCAACTGCTGCCTCTCCTTCATCTGAGGCAGCAGCTCTAGCATCAGCAGCATTAACTATTCACTCTCTGATCATTTCAGCCAGGCAGAATTAGGAAAGAACTATAGTGAAGCCCTTGGAAAGGGCATAAGACACATGTTGCTTCAGGGAAGGACATCTTTTGGCAAAGAGAAAGGAAAACAACAGCAAAGCAACCTGGCAAAGATGGAAAAGAAGCAGGGGAAAGAAACAAGACTCGCCTACAGCAAGGAAGATTCTCTCTGAGCAGAATGGATCAGAGGGGATTTTTTTTTTCCTCCTTGCACAAAGTTTTGACTTTCCATTGAAAGCAGAAAACCTAAAAAAAAAAAAAAAAAAAAAAAAAAAAAATCTTTGTTTTCAACAACTGTCAACAAAAATAACTTAAAAAAAAAATCTGGGGAAAAAAAAAAGGAAGAAAATAGGTGAGGAATGGTTGATTATCTGAGATACAAAGCTACCATCAAGAAAAGCATGCATTTCTTGGATAGCAGTGGAGGAATCTGCTAGAGTCCGTCTTCTGCTTTGCAGGGGAGAGAGGAGCTCACCCATACTCACCTGAGCAGCACCAAACACCAGATGAACACAGCTGGCTGTCTGGGACCCATCTTCCACTGGTGTGCAGGGGCAGGAGCAGCTCAGACACAGGCAAGGCTTTGGAAGGGGTTGTGTAAACAGGCTGGTTAAGCTGCAGAGATGCTTTATGTGGCAGAACAAGAGAAGAACCATTTTGGAGCTCTCTGCTGTGCAGCTGCCCCAGGGTGGAAGAGGTGAACTGAGTCAAGGAGGCTGAATTCAGGAGAAACCTGTAATGGGCAGAGGCAGATCCTGAGCTGTCGTAAAGAACCAAGAGCCAACCCAAGAGATGCTTTATGTACATGTATCACCAAACAAAATATAACAATGAAGACAGTGATGGACTTCTTGTGAGGAACGAAATATTATGTCTTCTGTGGCAGTGAATACACTTTACCAAGTTCATACAGTGAAGCTGTAGCCCTGAGATAATCAGTACAAACTGCTCCTGAATAGCCTCTGTGCTACACAATTTGAAGTCACGGCTGAGAAACAGCTTCTTGATGCACTCAGGGGCAAAACATTAAAAGTAGAGGTTGCAGGTGGAAGCCAGTACTGCTATCATGACCTTCCTATCATCTGTAAGTGCACTGGAGCCAACATAGACACAAGCGAGCTTTAGAGAAGGTCTCAAACAGCTGTCAGAGACAAAGGAACAAAGCAAACCGACAGACTTGCTGTGGCAGTTTCACAAGCTCAATCAATTTTTGGTTGAATGGAATACACAGAAAACTATAGTCTGAGATTTTTCCAGGACAATTAGACAAGGATGAAAGGTAGTGCAAAAGGTGTTGGCGTGAATTCAGCTCAAATCCAGACTGGATTAGCCCAAGCTAAAGGGAGCCCAACCTAAGCTTCTATCACAATCTCGATCACAAGGATGTCTGAGAAATCAAAGAGCTCTCATTATGGCAAGAGATTAAAGATCTTGACTAATTTAATACAACAAAATGTAGGCTGGGGGGAGGCAGTTACTGTCCGTATATGCATGGAGAAAAAGAGAGAAACAAAACACAATAGAAAGTATTGTATTGAAGTCTAACTTCTATTGCAAAAGTAGACACAAACATAATAACAAGGAAATAATATATACCAATGACTTAATGAATTGTGATTAGAAAGGTGAAGATAATTCCTTACCATCTTGGCAGTGAAGGAGTCTCTATAACTGAGAATGGCTCTACCAAGTGAGTAGCAGAGAGCTGGGGGAGAGCAGGAAGGAGCCCATTCTCCCTAATGCAGGTGGTGGATGAGCAAACTGTCTGTAAAATCCTACACCTTCACTACAGGAAGACTACAGGGAGACCCAGGTTACTTGTTAGTAACCTCATAGAAACATAAGAGAAAGTGTGTTTTTGTTGTTGTTTTTTTTTAAATTAAAAGAAAAAAAACACCAAGTAAAGCACCTTTCCCCCCCATTGGTTGTTTTTTTTTTAAACTTCCCTAGATCATCTGCTATTGTTTTGTTGAACTGTTTTGCTGCTGTTATGTCTGAGTTTTTCTGAGCTTCCCATTCACAAGCTCAGAAGCAAGAACTTGGGCAATTGGATCTGATAAAGCCTGCAGGTAAAACTCCTCATTTCGTGTGACTGTTTTCCACATCCAGTATCTAGTCTATGGTAATACAGGCACTTTTTAGCAACTTGAATCTCTGCTAGCTGAAGTAACACTTGTGGGGTTCCCTGAGACCCAGCTGTGCACCCATCTCTCCTCATAGAAGTTTAGAAGAACCATCATAGAAGATGGTAGAAGAAGAACCATCCTTCTGGAGGATTGCCATCAGACCCTGGCAGTGACTGCTTCCCAGCCACCTCCTGCACCTCTGTGCTAGATAGGATGGGTCCTGTCACAATCCGACGACTGAATTCTGTGGTCTTCATCAACTTGAAGAGAGATCAGTCCTCATCTAAACAGTGTGTAAGCAATAAAGCCAGAAAGAGCAGACAAACAAGAAAGCTGAACAAAAACAAGTGAATAAAAAAATAAATATTGGCTGCATTGCTTCAGAAAAGCACGGTCTGGGGAAAATTGTGTAATGCTATAATTAGATTTTATCATAATGCATCTGAGGAAGAAAGATGAAATGTGGTCACAAAGAAACATTGTCTGGCACAAAATCTCGCCTTTGAGTTTAGTTTTCAATCTTCGGTAAAATTGGCCTCATATCGGTTCCTTGTATGTGTTTTCATTTTTCTTAAGCTTTTAAGAGCTGTAAAGCAGACACTTCATCTTGTGCTCCCATCTTTGATCTTCTCAGGGTTCATTAATGGAGCAGGGCTGGTTGGATTCATTGCCTGGATATCTGCCACAGGAGCTCAGATGAAGGCAATAACCAACGGCAATGTTCAATCCTCTCTGCGGGGCAGCTCTGGAGATGTACATAGGGAACAGTTTTCTGAGCTCAGTCTTTTAGACTCTGATCTGCTTCTTTGCTATGCTGCAGATCTAACTTCTGAGACTTAGGGAAAAAAACAGTTAGGGAGGAACACTTGGAGGTCTGTGGTCCAAAGGCAAGCTGAATTAGAGCCATTTGCATCAGGTTTTTGAGGGCTTTATTCTTTGAATATCTCCAAAACTAGACAGTCAGTATTGGACCTCTGCTGCAATATTTGATTAACCTAATGGGGAAACACTTTCAGGGTTAAAAAGTTGTGCCAGTGGTCCTGTTTCTGTTGGAGGATAGCAAGCTATAAATGATATATGGAATCAGAAACAGGTTCTGCCTGTTGTGTTGCACTGGTACATGATGGGGGCTGGTACAGCCTTTGATGGCCTTCATTCATCTCCCCTCCTGCTCACTGAAATTGTCAAATATGTAGGCAAAAAGAGCCTCTGGCAGCAACAAGCAGGTTGCTCCTGCTTGAAATAAGTAGAAATCCAAATCCTCAAAGCTTGACTTTCACCAGCATTCTCTGTATAGAGGATGCACTACTGGACCTGCTCCCACCATAGGATGTGCCAGGGGTGGTTGCTTAGTGAAAACCATTTACAGCTGTACCTGCACCATGCTTCACCTTCGCAAGCACAAAAGCAAAGAGCCAAAAGCCTCTTATCTCTTCTCACTGTGTTTGGCTCAACTTTTGTCCCCTCTGCTGGGTGTTCCAGCCTGGAACCTTCAGGGAAAGCCTTGGGAGGCTGCAGTGTGGCTCCTGGGCAGTGCAGCTGGTGCATGGTGCATCTTGCTCTGCTTGGGAGCCCAAAAGGCTTTCACACCAGCACTTGCAGTCACAGAGGCTCTGCTCTGGTCCTCTCCCCAACAGCAGAACCTGAGCAGTGTGCTGCTCCCCAGGATGTTTTGCAGGTTGTTTGCTGCAGCCTTTTCCAAATCGGTCTGGTGAAATAATGAAGCACAGTAATGATTCATGAGCTGTTTTATGTTGGCTCCTTGCAGAGCTGAAGGGCGAGGCTGTGAGCTCAAGCACTGCACTGCTTATCAGTGGAGCAAAGGGACAGAGCACCCTGTGCTGGGTCAGACGTGTCCCTTTTATGTAGCCTGATCTGGCACCCCGTGCCTTGAAGAGGTAGTGCTAGATGTCTCATCTAATAGGACATCTGCCATGTACCTTCCTACAACTTTCATTTAAGGTTATCTGTAATACAAGGTTATGTTCGCTGAGATCCCGGGAGCAGAAAGCCTATCTTTCACTATTACTCTGCACAGATTGCCTTGATGGCTTGGTAAGTGAATTATGTAGGAGACATTACACTGTGAAGAGCTGACCTTGTCCTTAACCTCAGCACATTCTTCAATTAATGCCCTGCAAGATAAATTAATTCTATTAATCCATATAGGCCTCAGAGCAGCTGAACTGGGATTTCTGCCTTTCTCACTAAACCAAATTCTCCCTTTCCCTTCCTAATGAACCTTTTGCTTACAATCAATAGAAAAAAGCTACTTGAAAGCAAAACTAAACAGTGCTTGCTGTACTTAAAGCATGCTTGCCCCCTGCAACCCAGCTGTGAAGGAGGAGAGATGCTGAGAAGCTGCACCGCACTGCTTTTTGCCTCCTCGACCATCCCTCAGGCAGAAAACCCACTCCACTAGCAGGGCACAGAGCTGGAATGGAAACAGGGCTGTCTGACTGCAGGGAAGTGTCCAGCAGAGACCCCCAAGCTGTGTCTGCTCAGTGCAGGTGCAGCATTCAGGCTAATGCCTCAAACGCAGGGGCCTTGGGAATGCTTCAGTGCTGCCCGAGCATCGCTGCAGGTGATGTACTGAGCACTCATCCATTCAGCAACCCTGGTATTCTGGTTTATTTGATTATACTTTATGGGGTGGATGTGGCAGCTGTCAGTACTGGCAGTATCTAGGATGTATGGGTGACACAAAGGGAGACCATTTCTCATGGCATAATAATGACGATTAAGGATGGGATTCCTCCAAAGCAATCGGGGAAGTCAATGAGAGTCAGTAAGAAGTGGGTGCCTCATTTCCTTAATGTGCTTTTGAAAATCCTAGCCTAAAACATTGGTATTTCATATGGACTCATTTAAGTCTATACAGGAGAAGTCTCAAATCCTTTCTGAAAACCGATATGCATATTGTAATTGGAACAGATTAAATATGAATATCCACAGCAGCTTAACCTCTTATTCTTCTTATTTAAAAAAACATCGGGTGTTTCAGCCATAAGCAGCTACATCCTGCAGTTAACAGTGGGCCATATCCAGACCTGTCAGCTCACACAGCTGCCCTGAGTTGAGCAGAGCAGCTCTGATCTACCCCAGCTGGGGATCAGAGGCTAAGTGTGAGAAGTAATCGGAGCAATATTATCAAGTTGCAAATATATTCAGAAAAGTGCTGGTTATCCAGTGCTCAGCATACATAATGTCTCTGTAGGCAACCAACATTCAGACAAGAAATAGGGCACACGTTTTGAGCAGTGAGGGTAATTAAACTGTTGGAGCAACTTACTCTGGGGAGGCAGTAGGCTCTCTGTGGTGTGAAATTCCTAGACTGGGAAAGAGACCATTGGAAAGAAACAATCTAAAGCAAACAAAAACAGGGAGTCAGTTGCAGGGATCGTGATGGGGAAGTCCTGTTCTGAGTAAAAGAGGAGGTTAGACTTGATTACCCTGATGGACTCCTCCGGGCTGCATGTAGGCATTGAATTGCTGATTCTGAAAGGCGGCAGCAGCAGCCCAGCTTCTCAGGGTGCATCTGGATTTTCCTTTTCCTCTATAATAGCTCGTGCTCGTTGATCACACATGTCTCATTTTGTCTCATTTCTGATGAAACTCCAGGTCTCTGTAGGATACCTCATGGAAAAAAAACTGCATCTCACCTGGTGTCACACCAGCACTATTACACCCAGCTCGACTCATCTGCTTTCTGTTAGAGCTCATCCAATGGCTGTGAGTGCTTGGATGGCTTTGCTCAACCACTTCATTAGAGCCCTTTGCAACAAAGCCTCAGCACAGATGATGTCTCTGTCAATGTATGTGCAGTTCTGGCTATTTCACACCTCTCTGACAGCAGAGACTTGCATCAAGCAGCTCACCACATGATACATAGGTGGTGAGAAGGAGGGAAGAGACAAAGAAGCGGATATTTGGACTGGTTTATGAAGACTGTGGAAATGAATTTGTGTTTGAATGCTGACAGACTTACGGCTGCTGACAACTTAAACCTATGCATTTTGGAGGACGGTATTTCATCAAAAGCTCATCAGGTGCTCTGGAGTAGATTTATGCAGCCAGCAGTAATACAACACAAAATGTAAGGTAAACAGGGTGGAAAGTAAATCACCAACTCTCTACAAGCAAATAAGAACTCTTCATGTTTTGGCTGACATATGCAAATGGAGAGGATGGAGGCATGTATGGCAGTGGTTCATCCTTGGAGCTGGGGCTGTGACTGAAGCAGAGCTGGAGATAGAGATGGCACCAGGAGTCCCTGCAGAGACCTCTGCCACTGCTTTGTGTCTCAAAGCACAGTTCACTGTAGGACTTACACCCCTTAAGCATGGTGGAAGAGCAGCTAAGGGGGAAAGGTGCTATTCTTGCACAAGGGCTGGCTCGGTCCCACTGGAGGTGCACTGAACAGTGTGCTATCCCTGCTGAAGGCTTCTGCTTCTCAGGGAAGCCCTCCAGAACAGAGCAGCCTTACAGTAGTGCTGTACCAAAACACACTGCAATGCTGAAACTCATAGTAGCAATACAGCACAGCAAGGATGAGGTCCTGCTGGGAAATTACTTATGTGTGGCTTCAGAAAAAGCAAACTACTTCCATCACATGCTTGTGCAGCTGAGCAGCCCTTGAGGCTGTAAAACTGCACCATCTTACAGCAGATCCCACTGGTGATCCTGCTCTAGATCAGCATTCCCCCTTTACAGTGCTGGCTTGAGCTGCTGTGTCTCATTCAGCTCCTTGAAATCTGCAAAGCCCCTCTAGCTCAGATTTGCCTCCTGCCGCTTCCTCACTCCACATGTTCCTCTTCTCATGTCCCAACAAAGACCCTCCCCTCTCCTTCTCTGGGCCACTTGCCCAGCCCTGGGTGCAATACCTGATCCCCACCCACCTGCCTGCTGTTCTTCAGGCACCCAATGCTACAAGTTGAGCTATGGCCTCATGATTAGCCTCACATTACAGCTCCTGGGACAGGACACCACCCATGTGTCCTCCCTGCTATCACCCTCCTCCATTTTACATCAGCATCTGGGGTCCAGGTCTCCATTTCCCCCACCAGGAATCAGAACAGATCTGGCCCAGGAGCTTCATTTCTACCTCTCTGTCTCTTCCTGGGTTTGATATGATTTGAAATATTTTGGGGGAGGGGATGCAAACACTTTTCCCATTACGCGCATATCATTAGCTTTTCCCTTTGTGTTCGTGATTTAATAACTTCTGAATCTGTCACAATCAGTGTTGAAAGGAGCGTGGCTGGATGTAATGGAATGATTTGAAAAGAAATGCTAAAAAACGGGAACAGTCAGCATCCTTTTTAGCAGATGTAGAGTGAATAATATTTAGGGACGTGTTTATAAATCAGTACACCCTTTAATTAAGCAAAACATTTTGCTAAGAAAGAATAAATTAGCAATTCATGGCACAAGGCTTGGCCTATTATCAAAGAGCTTGTATGCGATAAAGCACAATTGTCTGCGTGTCTTAAGAGCTAATTATCAGTAACTTGTTTAATTCTTATTTCAGAGCTGCTTGTGAAGAGATGAGACAAAAAGATCTACACGAGGGATGTGGGCTCGTGGCTTGGCTTTCCCTTGACTCTCTTTCGAAGCTGCACTAATTGCCTTGAGCAGAAGGGCACCTGTGGCTGCTGTGCAGGCCCAGGCTGAGGGGAGGATTGCTTCCATCCAGCACAAGGCAGAGCCAGCACTTCTCTCTTACAAACTCATTCTGTAATGCTGCAAAAGTTATATTAATCTTGGTTTCTTCTTCACAAAATGGGGATGACAGCGCTGCTGGGCTGGTGGAGGTGTGCTGAGGATGGAGACGTGAGGCTCAGATGTTTGATGTAGAGATGGGGCAAACAAGGACCAGGAAGAGACCGAAGAAAGTGAGCAGTGATGGAGTCTGGTGTTCCCAGTGCAGCTCTGCATTGTGCAGAGACTGTGGCACATGGGAGGTATCGCACAGATCTGAGAGAAGAAGGAATGCTACGTGCTCTATCAGAAACCCAACAGAAAGGCAGTAGGGGCCTCAGATCCTGGGACGGGAGGGACGTTGATGTATAAGCCTCAAATATTTGTCTCTTGGGCACATGCCAACAGAAGAGTTGAAGCATGCCATGCTGGCACGAGTGACAGGATTATGAGCTGTTTCAATCTGATGCAGATGGTCTTCCCATTTGCTTCCTTGTTTAAACAGCAATTTGGCAAGTTTGTCATTCATAAAGCTTTTATAGCGCTCCACATGCTTCTCCCCTGTGGCCCACTAGGAGCTGCTTGGATGTTTGTTGATGTCTGGAAACACGCATTAGTCTTTAATGAGGTTGTATTCTTACTGTTTCCTTTGGTCAGAGGAGCCTTGGGAATTGCACACTATAGAATGTATCCCCACTGAAAAACCTGCAGCTTCTCACCAAAGCATCACTTGATGCACAATGCACAGCCCAGCTATTGGAATGGGGAACAGAGGAGCGCATTGAGATGGGCTGAGAAAAAGCTGTGTGAACTCACAGGTGTTACTCAAAGCAGAGGCAATGGAGAAGAATGGAGACAGGGCCCAGGCAGCCCCATTGCAAGGCACTGCTGGAGGTGGAGCAGGCAGGGGGAATCCCCTTATGAGCTGGGGAAAGGCTGACGAACCAGCTCAGAAGGTGATGTGGTTCTGCTTTGCACACTTCAGATAAGCTCTTCTTTTATTAACAAGGCAAACAGACTGCAGGAATCCTAAAGGGTTTTGTTTGCCCACAAGTAGTATCGATGCAAAGCACAACTGAAATATAATCAATTAATAGCTTTCATGTCTTTTTGCTGAGTGTAAAACAGCAAAGCATCACGGCTTGCATTGGCACAAGCTGCTCAGATCTAAAGGCAAGTAAATATTTAGCCAATAATTTTGATTTTGAGCAACAATATGCATCTTTATTCCTTATTGGCTGATTTGTGTTCTTAATAGAAGGAATAAGGAATGCTGGGGTATCAGTCTTCAACTCCGCATCTTCTGCAGTGGGACATTGTCATCTTTGCAGAAATGCAGGAAAAAGTCTTTGGCATTCTGTACTCTGCAGCTACCTCATCCAGAGCTGCCTATGCTCATGTATTCCAGCAGTCTTTTCTGCTGTAATTAGGACCTGCCACAAATACAGCTTGTGGACAAGGACTCCTCATCTATTTTTCTGTCCCCTCAGAAGAAACCCACACAGTTTGTTATAGATCAGTGTATTTATAGGCTTTGCTCCATGGCAAACAGGCTAATTTTTCACCTTTTCCTTATCTGTATGTACTTGCAAAGACTGTGTTTCACGTTATTTGATGGAGAGATGTGAAAACAAGAGGCAGCTGGAGGTCAGACAACAGCAGGCAGGTAACCATAGACTTAGCTTGCTGTGGGACCTCTGCCAATGCATTTAACACTTCTGATCCTGCTTCCCCCAGATGTTGTGAGAAGATAACACAGAATATAACGCAGGAGCAGGACTGGAGCCCCGAGAGGGGATCAGCTTTGAGCACAGTGTGACACCCAAGCAGTGGAGGAGCACCGAGTGATGGTGGTGGTGGTCAGTCCAGGCTCATGGCAGGGCGAGGCACACTGATGTTTTGCATCTGGAATCCAAACCAGACCCATTTGGAAGGCACAACAGCCAAGTACAAGGTAAGCTTTGCAAGGAGACTAGAACAGTTATACTGGTGAGAGTGGCCAAAGCAAAGGTCCGTGAGGTATCTGCCTCCAACCATGGCCATGACCATGGGAGGATGTGAGAACAAGGGTGGTATCTATTGTAATACCAACCAATTCCATTTCAGAGGCAGCTTGAGCTGCATCCAGGGAAGCTCCCAGAACAGCTGTGCTGAGGATAATCCAATTTTAAACATCCTGAGAGTTCTGACAAGGTGCTGCCCACCACTGTGCTGTATTAGGGGGCAGATGACCAAGGCACTGAGGTGCAGGTCTGTCCTTCTATCATGGGTGTTTTTTCCTCTGCCTGCTCCAGCCTCTGTTCTGTGTACTGAGAGGGCCTGGAAGGGTAAGAAGAGTTGGGGAAAGCAGCTTTTTTCCCTTTGACATAAAAGCTACTCACAAATTCATCTCACAGCTCTGGGTGTCTGCTGCCATACAAATGTCTTTCTTTCTTGACTCTGTCTTTGTATGTCTCACAGAAAATGTATCATCAGGAGGATATATTATGACGTTTTTGCAATACTATCCTCTGCAGCATATTGCAGAGCATCCTTCAATGGATTTCCTTCATGTGCAGCTCCTGCCATTAGTGTTGTGAGTTCTTCCCAGAGAGATGTACTTAGAGGTAATGGGTTCAAAACACATGCGAGTTATGAAGTGGTTATGCAGTACTCTTAAAGAATTTCAGTGGAGAGGGAAAGAACCACAAGCCTTGGTATGTGGAGAAACAGCCCTAGAACTGAGGCTGTACTCTTTTTCATGCTGTGTCATCTGATCACTGTCATTCGCTCTGAAAACAAATCACCTTAAAGGAAGGGATTGGACAGGACCTTTGCCAGTATTGCATATTTAATTTTTTCTTTGAAAGGAACATTGAGACAAACCCCTTGATTGAATGTAGAAGCACCAGGCTATTAAGGAACCCCACACCTGGATTCATCAGTTCTCCTATGGGAACTATCCTTGACATATTGCTTTGTGCTGTCAAACAACAGTAAATAGCAGAATGTGTGTGGGATTTTTTTGATTCTTTGTGTTTGTTTCTAAACAGGTGTTTTAAGGCACAATAAAGAGGGGAAAAAAAAGTCTGGGACATCTGCAAATAACAGAGAGATCACCAGGTCTGCTGTAGCTCAGAGAATGGGTTGGGCTGCCCTGGGTTGGGCTTCACCTAATAGAAGGAGGCATAGCAACACTTGTTCTGTGTTTTCGTCCAGGTGCCCTGGCCTCTGTTTTCACAGGCTGAAGAATTGAGCCATGCGTGTATTCAGAGACCATACATCTTTCTCTACAACAGTGCATGCAAATGCTGGGTTCAAGCTTTGCTAATGATTGTCAGAAACTGCAAAAGGATTAGAGCTTGGTTCTTGCAGACTTGACAAAAAGAAAAAAAAACAAAACAAAACAAAACAAAAAAAAAAAAAAAACAGAAAAATTGGCTCCAGACTTCTGTGGGATGGTGAAAAACTGTGTTTATCTTATTCTTAAAGTGTTTTTCTCCTTGAATCTTTTGTTGTAAGTTTTCAAATGAGACCTGCAAAGAGGACAGCCTGAAGAGGTGTGTTTGCCTCCAGAGCATGTTGTGTGGCCACCAAGCAGCACTCAGAGCCTCCTGCAGCCCTCAGCTAACCAAGGAGCCCAGTGGGCATTAGGAGGTTCTGGAAATGCACTAAATAGCAACAAGAGCAAGTACAGAGATGTTGGGATAATGTGAAGGAAAGAGCACATGTCGCTGGGTGGGAGCAGAGGAAACACACAAAAGACAAGAGATGAACACTTCCAGCATGTAGCCTTGCTGCATTTTCTCTGCAACCACCACTGCCACAACTTTGTCATTGCTCAGAAAAGCTGACGTGGAGGGGAAAAATACAACTGCAAGAGCCGAGGATTCTACAAATCACCAGTTATCACAGAGGAATTAATTTGTCATAGGATGTAGGAGGGGAATAACCCCCTGTGCTCTTCAGGAGAGCCCCACTCCAGCACTGCTAGATACCTAATCGTTTTCAGTGCTGTATGTTTGTACAGTGTCAGTGATAATGACAAGCATGAGATGAGGTGTTTAATCTTCCTGGAATTCAGTTTCCTTTGCATTACCATGGCAATGCAAGAAAAGATTTGATCACTAGCTGAGACACTCCAGTAAAAATTAATACAGCTTCTGCCAAGGAGAGGAGACTGACAGCTGTGTTTGTAAGCCTGATTTGAACCTTCTGTTTTCCACGTTATATCAAAAGCCACGAGCCCAGAGAAAGTTGAGGGAAAAAAGAGAAATCTTACAGCAACTTAAGAGAAATGCCTGAAGTTAAGAGAATATGTTTAATTCTTGCTAAATTGGCATCAACGTCTGTAGCTGACTGCAAGGCAAGAAAGTCCAAACTCCCTTGAGGCAGCAAGTTCTAAAATAACCTCCTACTGCAGCATTTTGCTGTCAGAAGTTCTAACTTGTGACTCTGCTCGTTCCTCTGTAACATCTTTGTGCTCACTGGGGCAGGATCTGCTATTTTATCCCTTGTTTGTGACATAGGAACAATAGACCCATATCTGAGGTCTCTCATGCCAAAGTAAAAACAACTCCAATTTTAATATCCAACGGATTTAATGTTCTTTATTCCCACTCATAACTATGATAGTAATTATTTTCATAGTTCTACTCATTCCTTTAATGAATGTTTTAAGCCTGAGCAGAGGATGCAGGTGTACACATCAGCAGTCAAGTGTGCAAGTGGAAGGTGGTATGAAATTAAGTGAAATGATTCCTCCAAGCATCAGCCTCCCATAACTGACCAAGAAAGCACCTCTCTGAATGACAAAAGGTCACAAACCTCTCTGCATGTCCTCATTGGTGCTAAGGGCAGAGGACACATTAAGGATGGTCTCCTCTTCACTGTTCCCACTTGCTTCTTAGAAGCTGTCCAAGTACCACATGTTGCGCATGAGAGTCAAGGTGAATGTTCTTCATGAAGACCAGGAGTTGATGGGGATAAGAAGAGGAGGTGTGAGAAGAATAGGGCTCATGCGCACTGCAGGCAGCCAAGGAGCTCAGGTGGTCTCAGGATTTTGAGCTTGATCAGAATGCAGATTTTTGCTGCCCCAGTTAATCAGGAAGAATTGAGGTTGGCTCAACCACTGGAAGCAGAACTCATTTGACAGTAAGGAAATTGTTCTCCAAAACTTTGTGAAGGTCCAGAGTATGATAAAGCCAACAACATCCATTGGTAGCAGTGAGGGTTGCAGTGCTCATGCCCACAGACGTTTGTCCATCATCGTAGGAGTCATAGATAAGGTCAGCTGTGACAGCTTCTTGCCTACAAAATCTTCTGAATGTTTTGAATCAAAGCCATTTGAGTAAGTGCCAACCACAATGATGTTCACCTTGTTCTCTGTCAGACTAAATCGTTTGCCACCCCATTTCTTGGTGACATCTTTGGGCAGAGCCCAGCTAATGGTTAACACAGCGAGATCAGCAGTTCAGTTCAGCCATCTGGAACAAAGCCACAGCCTGTCCAGCCCGTAACTTAGCAGCAGTGACAGTACTTGAAAGCCAGACTGACATCTCTCTAACTCAGACGCACATTCACGTCAGCTCTTGTAAAGTTTTTATGCTGGGGATCTTTCTTTTGCAGGTGATTCCTATGGGCATGTAGACTACTGCCTGCAGACTCCTGCCAGGGCTCAAAAAAGAAGTCTCCAGCTGTAACTTTCCTTTTTCCCTACCTAGCACTTTATTGCAATTGGAAATGTTTCATAAGGCCACCAGCCTAATTGAAAAGATACTATCTGAGATACGGTTCTGAAATGCATGCATTTAGAGTTAACTGTACATGCAAAATAGAAATATATGCATATGTATGTACCTACAACCATTTTTTCTATTTTTGGCTGGATGAGCACATTTGCTGGGATCAATTTAGATTCTGATCTCTGGCAAATTAGTGTCCAGGACTAATATTTTCCAAAGGCATTTGTTTGTGAAAAAAAAAAAATGCATATTCAACTGCACGTCCAATCTGCAAGTAGACTTTCTGCACTGCTGTACTGATCAGGAATTGCATGGAAAATAAGTCTATCCATTTGCATTACTGGTTATCTGATTTACCAGCACAGCCATTCATGCAAGCTAGACACTTGGGTGAATTTAGATTTTGTACATGCATGTGTGTAGCTGAGTCTATTGAAAAATCTAGGTCAAACACTGTAGACAACTTTTGGCCTGACTTCTGTATCCACAAGCACTTTGCTGTATAAGAAATTGATTCGAGCACATTAGAGAAGGGGCTAGAGGAAGTTCTGATCAAACGAAACCGATTTATATAACTCAGTCTCCCCAAAATACAGCCACTGAGAGTTTCTTAAGTGGAGAACTTCCCATTTTGTTCAGCTCCATTAAAATGGAATCTAGCAGTGCCACCACTGTAGCACAGTAACAGAGCGCTGCAGTTCGATATGCATCCTGCTGTTCCACTCTCAGGTTCAAACTTGAGGTTGAGCTTGTTTGAGGATTGATCTAGTTTTCCAGGCTTCCTTTTCTAAAGAAGCGAATGGGAACTTTTGCCCTCAGTTCTGACTCACAGTTATCCTTTTTTTTCTCTAGAAGATTCCTCACATTTACTCAGTGGGAAAACATACAGGTACCAGTAGGCAGTATGAGTGAATGGAAACATCACCCTATGCTCATGCCTTTAACACAAATCTCAGCTTGAAGGGGCTTTGGGGAGGGAGGGAAGGGAATACCCTGTTTCTCATTTATCACATATCACAAAGTTTGAGGTCTTTGTGAATGTGAGACTTCAAACTGTCTCATTTTGCTCAGCACTTCAAACATGCCAACATCATCATAGCAATTTCTGAAGATAATTTATTGATTAATATAAGGGAAACACTAGTACAGCATATTTAGATGGTTCACATGTCTCTAGCTTAGCTCAAATAAGTCAAGAAGAAAGACATTCTCTAGCATTCAGGTCTGCTTGACAGAGTGATCACATCAGTTAGACTGACTTAAGCTTTTACATGACAAGAACCTGCTTGTCAATGGCTTTAGCTTTGAATAATATAAATAAAGAGAAAATCCACAAATATGAAGACTAAGTCAGTGGATACTGAGACTGAGCACTGTGGAAAGAGCCACCAGAGCCACCTATCCATCAGTTTTAGGTAATCACAATATAGGCTGCTTCTCCCACCAGATTCGGAGATTCTCCTCTTCACACATTCCCACCAATATATAAAACATCTCTCAGGAAACTTAGGAGTAATACTAAAAAGGTAAGTGACAGAATTCCCTAAAATTAAGTGTACCAAATATGTCATACCTCATTTGAAAGGGGGAGAGCTCCTTGGTTTCTCTCCTTCTCGCATCAGTGTGTCACACAGTCCTTGCAAAACGCCAGGAATAAGTAGGTAACTCTGGTGCTCAGGATGCATTTGTCTAGTCATTAATTCAGAAGGCATACAAGGCACTAACTAGCTGGAGGGAGAAAGCCTGTGCCAGCAAGGAAGGGCCTGCTGAATATATAACAGAAGTAAAGACACCGATCTCGGTCTTCTCAGACCACATTTACATGAAGACGCATGTGTCAGGAGAAACATGGCTATCCAGAAGGAAAAGCAATTAGAAATGGTAGCTTTTGACAGTATGCAGTTCCTAACCGAGAGAGCTGAACAAGTATCTCTCCTTCCTTTTTGCTAATGCAAAGATAACGTATGAAAAATGTCACTCAGCACAACAGGAGAACTAAGACTGGCAGTGTGAGGGAAGGAAGGACCAAGAGGAAGAGCTGGCTCTGTGGCTGATGAGAAAGGCTATTCTCCCAGAAATGCCAGCCCTGATGTGAACTGTATGGGCATGCTGAGGGACAGCTGAGATCTGAGCTAAATAACAGTTAATGAATTTGATTATTGAACTTCATACCTTGCCAAAGTAACCTTGTTTCCTCCTTTCCAGTCTAGAGTTTGTCTAGAGGTGTGCATGCAGCCACAGAGCCATGGTCCCATGGGATCACAGAAATATGGTGGGACAGCTGACCCAACTGAAAGGCTGCCGGCGTGGACATGGACTCTTCAGAAGGAATGGTCTGAGAAGGAGAGAGATGGGAGGTCATCTGCATGAACGCACAGCAGGAGTACAAGATGAGCAGGCAGAATTTTTCCTTGGAGAGCATAAGCACAAGCCTTGGCTGGGCTGCTGGTGGCAGAGGGACAACTGGTCTCCAACCCAAGATCACACAAATTCAGTACCTTGGGGGAAGAAAACAGAACTCTCACTGAAATGTTCACGAGAAAATACTCTGTTCACAAATTGTATGTTTGAGATTGCAAAGTCCTCAGCAAAGTACTGCCTGTGTGTTTGTTTTTGTACGTGTTTATATGCAAAAAGTCTGTTGGTCAAGTCATCCTTTCTTTACACTGTGTCCCTTTTTCTGCTTTATGACAGATTAATGACACTGAAGAAGTTCTAGTCACCTTGTCCAATGGGCTAAAGTAACCAAGATGAAATGAGAATGGAGGTCAGTATTTCCTCAAAGACAAATCCTTGCTTTCCTCTGTCCCCAAGGACAGCTGGAGGGTATGACAGCAGGCAGGACAGGAGCCTGCAGTGATATTCCCATCCTATTCAAAACTCTAGGGATAAACAGCAGAGCTTTGGCTCTGAGCCAAATGGAGATTCATTGCCCTCATAGCTGCTGTCACTGAAGTTGTTCTGTCTTGCTGGGTCCTTGAGAAATGGGCTTTTGCACAACGCCAGCTCGTTTACCTCTAACCCGAGCCAAGTATCGTGCTTTGCAGTCTGGCTATCTAGAGGGATCTTCAATGAAGGGGAGAATTGTCTCACAACATAAACTGTGGTTGGAAATGAAGTTATTTTTCTAATGGGCCAAAGACATACATCAAAATGTCGCAGAAAAGACCCAACAACTGCGGTTTAAAGTGACTTGGCAGGACCTATGGACACACTGGTTTGCCACTTGATTTATTACCAGCGTGGGTTTGATTGCTGGAGTGAAGGGCTCAGATTGCTCTACAGCAAATGCAGCACAAAACACGAGGCATTCCCTCCATCCCATCTGCAGGCAGTAAGGGGCAGCAGACACTGGTCAAGTTTTACCCTGCAATTACACTGATCATCTTTTCAGGTTTTAAGGATTTTGTTGGATTTTTTTTTGTTTGTTTGCTTGTTTGCTTTTTGCTGCTGTTGTTTTTGTTGGATGTTTTTGGGCAGTGTGTCTTCCTACTTCGAACTGCAGGAACCTCTCACAGACTGACCACTCCAATATTGCCAGCAGCTGTTCTGGTTCTGTGGTTCCCCATCATCCCAACTGGAGCAGAGTCTAAGTTCGGGGAGGAACAAAATCATCTCTGCGCTGAACCAGCCTTCAGGCTGTGTGGTGCCCGTTCACACAGGGACTACACTTACACCCCGCTCAATCACATGCCATAAATCTGTGTAGATGAAACCAAGGTGGGATGCACATCCAGCAAGATGTCAGCATCACTGAGTCCAGGACTCTGCCACTATGAGCAGTGACATTGCAGAGATAGAGGTAAGAGTAGCACCAAGAAATTCAGAGGCAAAACTGAATTCAGAGGTAAAAAGAAGAGCAGTAAATAATCAGAATGTGTCCCACTGTGGCTGGGAGCCCTTCAGTGACATGCAATTTCTCCCTTTCCCTCCTGGCCTCTCCAGTTTGGCCTTGGGATGAGCTGCTTAGCATTCTTCAAGAACAGGACAAGAAAAAGAATCATTTGGCTGAATAATGGCCTTTAGAAGAACATGGAAGATTTTATGAAAAACTACTGGCTTTTTTAAATGCATTTCTCCTTTTTTTTTTGATTTTTCAGTGACGTCCTCTATCAGTCTTTTTTACTACAGAGTGCAGTGTAAACTAGGCACTTGTTTCTCTGCCAGATTTTTTCTTTTAAGATACTTCTAAAATCAAAACACTATCAAAATAATTCATCTACAGAATATTTACTTTCAAGAAGATGAGCTGTGCATTTTTTCTGAAGGCAGACGCATGGAGAACAGTTATTCAGCTCTGAATATTTCAGTGTGCAGAGCAACAAGACAGACTGCTCTGTAGCATGCCCCATCCAAGCTCTGCCCAGACACTTATTTTCCTGCACCAAGTGCTGAGGTATCCCACGTTCTCTCCTCTCACCAGCCAGATTCCTTGTTCTTACTCTGCTCATGAATATCTAATGCTGCTGGTGCAGGAGCAGCAGCTTGATTACAGATTTCCAAGCCACGTGCATTGCTCCCCATCAGCTCACGCAAGAGCTTTGGGCAAAGCACAGTGTACAGGATTTTCAGACAACACAGAGAAGTGAAAGGCACCAGCTAGTTGCACCACAAAAGGCTTCTTTGTGCTCATCTCATCGAATCTTTAACAGCTAATATTTTAGGAACGATATCTGAGAAGTTTTTTGAAGACCAGTTTATATGATGGTTCTGTTAACAGCAGCAAGAACTTGCACAGGGAAGTTTATTGATTCTCTTTATTGAGCTAAGTTTGCTTCCTAGAATTCAGAGTCAGAGGTGGGCTGTGACTGCAATACTGAATTACCATGAGCTGCCCATACATTGGAACCATCCAGAGGTGCAGCTGCCCTGAGCAGACTGCCTAATCACAGCAGGCTGCAGCTCTAACCTGCTCACAAGGAAAAGAGAAATGGAAGCTAGAGGAATGGAAGATGGGAGGATTACAGAAGTTTTCCTTGGTCCTCCCTGTCCATGGGCCATGGGAAAGTTTCTGCTGCTTAATGTGTTTGATAGGTAGATCAGCAGTGGATCATGAGACAAGGGATATCTGAAACATGGAGGGCCAGAGCAAGATGTTTTAGGACTGGGTTGGGTTGTGTCATAATCCAGTGCTTATTCCTTTCCCACCTCAATTCCTTCCTGTAAAATCGGATCCGATTGAAATTCTTGATGTCTAGCTTCTATCCAGCAATTACATGTTAATTTTGCTGGTTATGCTGTGCTCCAGCAGACATGGATTGCCCATGCATTGCATTACCTTCTTCTAGAAATAGTGCTCAGGGCAGCACTCAGCCTGCTTAGAGCTCCCCGAGCCAAAGCTGGATGTTGAGGTGGAGTGTGCAGTGGCAGAGACAAGGAGAAAAATGGTGTGCACAGAAAGAAAGAGGAAGATCCATCAGGACCTCAGAGCTGGGTGAAGAATAAGTGCCAGAGGGCAGGGGAGAAGGGCAGCCAGCCCTCAGTCTGACACCACACACAGACACCACACACCTCTTCATCCTCACTCATTCATAAAATAAATACAGCCAACTACCTACTGCTCCCTCATTGCACAGGCCACCCTACAGATTACCACAACCTGAAGTCTGGGAACATCTGTTCTAGACCCCTCATCCAACCAGCACATCACAGCACATGGTTATGGGTTGATATCACACAGCAGGAACCAGCCGTGTAAAATCACCTACAAACACACAAGCATCCCCACCTGATACATACCTTAGAGCCACATTCCACCCAAAACTCCCAGTTTCTGCCCTCTCACAGAGGAGAGTTACAAACACCCCAGTGTGCAGGAAGAACAGAACCAATGCCAGTATCCCCTTCCTGCTGGCTTCCGACCCATCAGCACAAGCTCCACTGCTCTGCCCAGCCCCAGGCTGCACCATGCTCTGCTCCATGCTGCACCTGATCAGAAGCAGCTTGCACCTCACCTCACCTTGCCCTTCCAGCACTCCTTACCTGCTTCACCACATTTTCCTCCTCCACACAGCCACTTCTGCCTCTTAAAGAATGCCTCCTCTGCTCCTGTCACCTGGGACAAGCTTGTTGTGCAGAGGATAAGCACGTCCTCTCCCAGGTTATCACTTGCCTCCTGGCAGCACAGCTGCACTTTCTGAGAATTTACAAGTCTATCTGCTTAATAATTCCTTAATATGCATTCAGCATCTTGTGCTAGCACAGGTGGGGACCTGAAGAAACTCAGTAACAGCCTTCAGCTGTTCTTTCCCTTCAGTCAACCTGTGTGTAAAACCTCTCCACCACTTTATACAGGGCTGACCCCAGTGCCTCAGACAGCAGTGGCTGTTCTACAGGAAGTTAATTTATAACAGCAAAGCATCAAATTATTTTAGGTGTGTGCTGGCTTCGTGTGTCTTGCTGTGTAGTTATATTTTAATCTTTTCAAAGTTCATTACAACTGTTTTAATTTTAAATAGGATCATTTCAAGGTAAAAATGATTTCCGAGCTGCCACATGAAAATCAGACATGGATTTCTCCCACACTGCATTCACAGCAGTTGTGTCTTTGTCCTCCTGCCACTGAATGAATTAGTAAAATATAAAAGCAAAAACAAAATTAACAGTTGCTTCTTTGAAACTCTTAGTTTGGTCTGTAACATTATTCTTACGTTGCCATGTCCTAATCAGAATTGTATCCCATTTTAGGGGGAGTTCCTTGTTCCATTCTAGTTCCTTGTTCTTAATAACTGGATCAAAGAATGATAGAATCTTTGGATTTTCCTTACTGTGAAATTTAACTCCATAATCCGGAGCCTCTGATGCTTGTCTGTACAACACTTGCAGCATGTGGTCACGTGCTTTAACCTTAGCTGCAGATAAGTGCCATCATCCTGAACTTTTCCATTCTGTTATACAGAAATGAGTCATTATTTTTGGCTCTGTACTGTCCTCAGTCTTTCTGTTCTGCATTCATTTCTGCCCCGCAGTATCACTCTGCTGTTTAATGCAGTGTATGCACAGCAGACATGGCCAAATGCTTTCTGGATAACACCTTTCAAGGGGGCAACAACTTGGGGAACTCCCCAGCTTCCACCTTTCTGCTCCATGCATTGTCCCACCACCTTTCCTTTGCAGCTGCACATCCTCATGCCCTGCACAGACCCACGAGTCCACTCCCTCCCTCCTTCTGATGCAGAGGCAATCGTAGCCCCAGTGTGTTAACAATTATAATTAGTCATTAATCATTTCCCAGCTGACACTCTGATGCTGTCACTGCAGAGGCACAGTGGCCCAAAGATATCCTTCTCAGCTGGGATTGAGTATGACTTCAGCACAGCTTTATTTTATTAAGATGAGCCTCTGAATGAAGACATTCAAGACACGTGTGTGGTTGCCCTGATTACTGAGCTGCTTCAGCTTCATATCTAAAAATTGCTGTGATCTCCACAAAGGTCCCTTCCATTAGTCTGATTTCTCAGGCTGCACTCTTGATGTAATGGGGGGATTGTCTGGAGTGACCAGGGAAAAGTGCTCGTGTCAGTCTGCAATGCAGTAGAAGACCATGCTTGGTATTAATGCTATTTCCTTTCTATTCCTAAGAGATCTCAATCTGTGTCGAGTCTGGACCACACCAGGCACTGAGCCACAGTAGATGGCAATTCCTAACATGCAGGAAATGCTATGAAGGAAAAAGCCATAGCTGCCAGGCAGTGCAACATTAAATGACACCACAGTCTTCCACTATCTTGAAAATCTGAATGTTTTCATTGGATCTATCTCTAGACCTTAGAGCTTATCTTCATCATTGCCCTCTGCCTCCTTCCTACAGCTGTGAGGCAGTGTTTGCTGTCAGAAGTGTGGGTGTGAAATATGGGCTTCTCTGGATAGAAGCGCAGCAGAATCCCTGTGAAGAAGTCAAGGATGTCTAAG